TTGACAGAAAATGACGGTTGACTCGAGAAAATATATTTTAAACTCTTTTTTTTCTTTTTTTTATTTATTATATTTTTTTTGTCATGAATAATAAGATAAAATAACATTCCTAAAAAATTTTAGTGAATCCAAAATTGGGTTACAACAAACCATGTGAATTTTTAAATTAAAAATTTAGATAATTCAAATAAAAATTCTAATGGCTAGAAATAATATAAAATTATTCTTTGTAACTCATCTAACAATTTAAATTTTTAAATAAAAAATGATACTTTGACACTAATGATTTAATTGAAGGTAAAAAAATATATCTTTTCATTCAAAATTATAATTTTTTATTCATGGAATTCTTTTTTTAAACAAAATTATATTTTCTAAAAGCATGATGTTTTAAAGAAAAACTTACCAAAAATAAAAAGTATGTGCCTGCCACTATAAAAACTGATTGTTTGCTACTAATTCATGCATGACTTTCAGAAATCTAATCGATGAAACCTTTGAAATAATTTTATATAATCTGTTTGCCACTCTAACTGGCCTTCAATTTGACCTCCACTTTAATTTGGGAATTAAAGTGATATATGCAATTATTGATCTAGCCGGTTAGAATGAAACGATCTATATGCTTACTTGATTGAATTATTTTTATTGAGAGGTTGTTAATGGATATTTAGTTAATGGGCAAAATGGATAAACTCAAAGCTTAAATAATAATTAATACATTATCAAAATAAATAACCAGTAAGCTATATCATTTACATCATTAACGACCAAACTGATATAAAGAGTCAATACAATCATTTGTTAGATCTGATAACTTTGCATGATTAGCTCTATCATCATCTCCCAACATCTGATGTGGGGTGAGAAAAGGCTTAGGAGGCATTTGTAGGGATTCACCATCCGATTCAAGCATCTCTACAACTTTATGCATTGAGGGACGATCAACAGGTTTCAATTGTATACACCATAATGCCACAATAATCATCTTTTTTGTTGTTTTCTTTTCATGTTCCATGGCATCTTCTTGTACTTCTATATCCTTTCCTTCACTAACTTGGTTATAAACCCATGATGGGAAGTAAATTTGGCTTGAATGATTTGCCAATGCATTCAAGTTCTTTCTTCTTCCTACCATTTCCATCAATAACATCCCGTAACTATAAACATCAGCTTTGTAAGAGACACCTCCAATATTCTTATAACATAGTTCAGGAGCCATGTATCCCATTGTTCCTCTAGCAGCAGTGAGGGACACAACACAATGTTATTATTTGCTGGGTACAATTTGGCTAGTCCAAAATCTGAAATTTTCGGAACAAACTTGTCATTAAGAAGAATGTTGTGAGGCTTGATATCAAAATGTAAGATTTGCATATCACAACCTTGATGTAGATATTCAATGCCACGAGCTATTCCAAGAGAAATCTCATACATTTTCTCATTGCTTAGTGGGATGCTACCCTCTCTGGAAAAAATATACTTTTCAAGAGACCCATTAGGCATGAATTCGTATATAAGAGCACGTTTTGATCCCTCAACAGTGAAGCCTATAAGTTGCACGACATTGACATGGTGAATTCTTCCAATTGTGGCAACTTCATTGATAAAATCTTGTCCATTAGCTTTTGACTTGCCCAATAATTTAACTGCTGCAAAACGACCACTACGAAGCTTTCCCTTGTACACTGAGCCAAAGCCTCCTTCACCCAACTTGTCTTTAAATCCGTTGGTTATCTTTTTAATTTCCGAGTAAGTGTACCTTATCGGCATGAGATCATTATCATGACTTTGCAAGAATTTTTCAATGTCTTCGTACATGGATAAATGTCGTCTTCTCCATTTATAGATCAGTAAAGTTACGAGAAATGGAAGCCCACATGCGAACAACAACACATGATATATCACTATATAGAGACATTACAAAAATAGTTAACATTTGAAACATATCAAAACATTTTACAAATACTTCATTGATTTTAATAACGAGTATATGCATGTGAGCTATGGAGGAATTTTTCATTCTAAGTCTTTATTTTCAAAAACTTATCGTCATGGCTCTCAAAACTCTAATAAATACCTCATGAAATTGAAAACAAAACTATATTATCCATGCAAGTCTTATTAATACCATTTTTTTAATGATAATAGATAATATTATTAATATCATTCTTGCCATTTAGAAAATTAATGGCCAACAAAAAAAAATCTGATAATTTTTATAAAATAAGATCATTAACGAAAAGAAAAAAATAGAAAAGTGTTATCCCAAAAAAATAGTAAATACTTTCAAAATACTCATGCTCTGTGTTTGATTCGAACGTTAGCTTCTAATGCTTTAAAATCATTGTTTATAATTGAAAACGAACATAGAAAGAATATTAGATACATTAATTTGATGCAAAAATAATATGAATTTAACCTAAAGTTAAAACTTGAAATAGTAGGGATTCATAAGATATATTTAAATTTCAAGGACTAATTTTTTACAAAAAAATATATTTAATGAAAATATGTCATGAAAAAAAGTTATTTCTTAAGCTGTAATTTCTGTGTGCTGATATACAAATATTTATTGTTTCACAATTAGCTAATAAAAGCGAAGTAAAATTCTTACCGATAAGAGCAAGTGTCACAGTGGAAAAGAATGTGAGAAAGCGTAGTTTAGTGTACATCGGGAAATCATAACAATAAAAATCTGTCAAATAAAAAATGATAATAAATAAATAAACAATGGAATGAGTGAGAATCAATTCCTTCAAAGTAAAAGCATTATAAATTGTAAAATAATAGAAAGATGATAGAAAATCTAACTAAATTGGAATGATTGAAAATTATAGCTAGATATAAGAAGATTAGAAGTGATCATATCTTATTTCATTTAGATCTTCTGATTAGAGTAGAAGATTAAATTATTTTAAAAGGGTTTTATTTTATCAAAATCTAAGAGTTTAGTGACCGCAAGAACATCGATAATAGAAAGGATTCAGTTTAAAATTATTTTATTGAAACTTGGATTGAAAAGGAGAAGATTTTTTAGGGTCTTTTATTTGTTTTATTAGAAAAATAAATATTAATTAGTACTCTTTCTGTAAAATGATATAATGACACAAAATAAATTAACTCACCCCTCCTATAAAATCGACAAATTATCCAGCGGATACCTATAATCACCAAGAAAATATGAATCAGCGTGCAAAATCTTGATGATGAATTAAAAAAAAAACCTCATTTTCGAAGAAAATGCGTAAAGTAAATGTATCGTTTTGTAGAACATATAAGACCGTAATAGTCCTCACCTTCAAGAAAAGGGACTACCAGCGTCCCCATGACTGCATTTCAAGAAAAAAACGGTCAACACTATTGATAATTACGAGCTTATCATTTTAACTGAAGTGAAGAACATTTATTAAAATATAAAATAAACCCTTAACACATAAACGGAAACCAAGCAATATTGGAGCATTACAATATAAAATAAAGCAAATATTGTATGCATAATATTAATACAGTACTTACGGTATGGTCCTGTGTAAAAGCAATAGTTGTCCTTCACGGTGGCTTCATCAAGGTTGCAGCGGTTCTCTTTGCCATAATAACAACAGAAAGAGAACCATGAAAGCTCGAACCCATATACCAAAATATCATGGACATCTGTATACGTCATATTTCTCATATTTTTAGGCACAGAATAAATCAAATTTATACGGCACAAGTCAGGTACATCGTTGATCTGCCCATCAACCATGACATAGGAATGACCTTCCATATCGACACAGCTGGGAGAAGAAATACTGCTAGACGAAGAAGAACTATATGCAGTACCACTGCCATTTTTGCAAGAAGAAGCATCCATAATATAATCTGGAGGATTCAGCATTTGATTCTCGCAACATAAAAAAGTTAACACAGAACTGTCTGTCCAATTTATCTTATAATAATAAATGCCGTACTCAGAGCGGAGCCCTTCTTGTGTAAGAGATTGATGAGGGAGGGAGAAGCAATCATCCTTCTGAACAGCAGCACTCACAAGTCGAATTGTGAAGTCACTGTAATTGATTGCCTGGACATAATACTTTTCCATGTTCAAGTATAAAGTTGGACGAGAGTTGTTTTCACAAGCAAGTTCAAAATATTTGTTGCCACAGTTTTTGTGATCGGTATTTAATCGAAAAGGATAGCTAATATTATGGATATTGCCACAAGAAGAAGGAGGGCAGTAATTGCCGGTGTTCCTTGTGGCACTGGAAGTATGGTGCGAGGATAGGATCACTAGAAAAGGGAGGGCTGCATATGCACCGAAGAGGTGCCTTAATACTCTACTGAACATTGAGAGAGAAACTTTCTTTGGGAAACCAAATAATGTGCTTTGTTACACTTTGCTCAAGAGATATAAATATATTATGAGGACAATGCTCGTCTACAGACTACGTATACCATCTTGGATCAAAACGAAAGGAAATCAATCAATAGCCACAAATTAAAGTCTTCTTGTTATTATCTTGGGCCCATTCTCATTAATTATATTTTTCAAATTTCTAAATGCGATGCCGACGAGCCCATTCAATATTTTTGAAATTTCCAAAATGAGGAGAGTGCCTTGAAGTTTCCAAGTCTGTAAGAGAAAAAAAACGCAAGGAAAGAATGTGGTGCCATTCAATATTTAAATATAAATATAGTAGGAGTAAAGTAGAAATGCAAAACTGTATAAAAACCACGCCGTTTTGCAAAACTCTAAGTGAAAACGACTACGTTTCTTTTTTTAAAGGGGTTACAATGTGAGACGACATCTTTAGCCTTTGGAAATGAAAATTCACAATATATATATATATTCTTTTATTCAACATGAAAACTTAAAGGAGGAAATTAACAAACCTCCTCGATTATCAAATCAATTCCTTTGAATTACTCCTTATCAATATAGTATTTTATTTAAACTTTATTTGACCATCTAACACTAAAGAGGCCTAAAACAAATAAATTTAAAAATTTAGAAACGCAATAAACCATGTCCCCGTTTTCAATCATTTTATTTAATCTTTATTATGGATATTACCACCAGAAGGAGGGCGGTAATTGTTGCAATTTCTATCGCTGCAACTATATTCAAAGGATAATTCTATTTATTGCGTTACTAAATCACTAAATTTTAGGAGGAGGATAGCAACTTCTATCTTTAATATGGCATTGCTTAGAATATTATTTGGCTAGTTAGAAATATTAATTTAGAAATAAGTTTAGTTTATACTAGTGCATGATCTAATAATATTAAATCAAGGTAATTACAAAAATAAAAATCTGTATTTTTTTTTGTTTTTATTTGTTTCTTATGTATTTTCTCTTACTTTATTAAAAGACAAATGAACAAATTCAAAATCAAAGTGATGGTGCTCATTTATTTTAAAAATATATATGGAGAATTACACATTTCATGTGAAAACATTAGGCTAAGTCCTATGTACATATAACTATTAAACAATTAAATTAAGATCCAACTTAAAGTTAATATATTTAAAATAAAATAATTAACTTAAAGTTAATTTTTAAAATATTTTAAGTCATCAACTAATTAAGTAATTGAATTTTAATGAAGTATTATATATAAAACAAAAATTAAATACTTACTTAATTTTAAGTATTTAAAATTATTTTTATCTTCTTTTTTTTTAAGATATCAGCATATATAATATTGCAAAATATATAATCCGAAAATTCATCCAAAAGTTAAACTACTATTGCAAAAGTGAGGTTGAAACATTTTTTGCTTCCACGTAGTATTGGCGATATTATGCAAATTTTTTGAAACAATTTTGCAACAAATTTGGGTGTACGTAGTTTTCAATATCAAATTCACATTTTTGTTTTCTAATTAATATTATGGATATTGTCACCGGAGCGCGGTAATTGTTGCTCTTTCAAGCACTGCAAGAATGGTTCGTATTATGTTTTTTTTTTAAAGTATAATTATTTAGATTATTTTAATATGTTGATGTTAAGAATAGTTTTTAAAAATTTTAAAAAATATTATTTTAATGTATTAAAAAAAAGTTTAAAGAAAGTAAATAAAATAAAATGAATGGCTGAAAATTAAAGTCTTTGAAATATTGAATGTTCACTATCTCACTGATTTCATTAATTTAAAACTTAAACCACAAAAGTAATAGTTAGCCATGAAAATACACAAACATAAATTATAATCTCACTTCAATCAATAAACTTGGGTCAATCCTCCTTGTAAACAAGAAATTCTCTAGATTACGAATGCCACAGATTACTAAAGTCTTGGAATTATTGCTTGGTTGCTCTCTATCTCAATGATTAGGATTTAGGAAATTGCATGAAAAGTTCCCGCCGATGAAGGGGAAGACCTCTTCGTGGCCTCCGCTTACAAAGTCAAGCTCGTCTACATCTCGGGTCCATCCTGAATGCGATGCAGACGAGCCCAAACAGAGAAGAAAGAAACGGAAAACAAAAATGCAAGGAGTCTTCCCAGCTTGAAGTTTCCAGGGCAATAGAAAACAACACAGCCAATTAATTACAGAAAAGGTTAGGAAAAAAAAATGTGATAACAATCAAGCTACCTTTCATTATAGAAGACAATGACAATATTGAAAGCCCACAAAATGACAATAGAAAACAACAAAGCCAATTTTTGATTGGTGATCGTTTGAAATCACAAATCAAAACCCCACGGTAATGGAATATATAGTGAAAGATAGCTTTTGTTTGGTCCCATCACGCAGATAACAGTAAGATAATGGGTTTGTAACAAACCAAAATCATTAAAAACCGAGAAAGCTATAGCTATAGAAAAACGCCCAAGATATTTAATTTTTATTCCTCAAATATTCTTGATCAAATACCGTGCCAATAGCTTCTTGTAATGATAAATAAATGGGGTCAGATTGAGTCCACACAAAGATGATTTGAAACAGTGGGAAGCTGACAGCCAAGAAAAATATACGATCAAATTGATTTTAGAGGATAGGATGCTAAATTGGAATACGATGTTTGAGCTCGCTTTTTATCATCTAGCTCTTTGGTTGAAGGCCATCGATTTTAATTTCTTCTATATGGG